TAGGAAAGGCGCAGCGTCATCTCCGGGATCAGACGTGGCCTTGGGTTTCAGCCGGAGACAATTCCTGCTTGTGCGCGCTGCTCTTTCCTGGCACAGCCTGGAGGCTCCATTTCCACCGAGACTGACAAACGGCTTAAGCATTTTATCTACTCAGTTACCCATTATCTTAATTAGGTTATTAGTTCCTTCCAGAGAGGGGGTGCTACTCCCTGATTAAGACTCCATGTGAGAAGCTCCAAGCTTTGCCATGGAAATAATGCTCCCCAGTCCTGTGAAATGTAATTTCCCCGAGTTAAATAGTTACACACGTCCACTGTTGAAAATTTGGAAAACAAAGGAAAGTAGAAATAAGAGAGTAAGAGAGTAAAATAAGAGGACCGCTTCCAACATTTCCGTGCCTTTAATTGCAGTCTTGTCTTCGTATCGCGTTTATTACCTGACATCACTTAAACCAGCCTATGTAACTTTCCCATTTTCTATCTGTAAATAATGCCTATTACACAAACATTCTCGTAGGAAACGTTTCATCCTTTCTGGTCATTTCTGCAGGACAGCAGCTTAAGAGCGGAATTCCTTGTGGCAGGACAGAGGCCGCTGTAGATACAGAGATATTTATATCTTAATATTGGTATCACTGGCAGTATCTTGATGGCTATTTTAAAAATTTTGGAGGGACCACGGCCAGTTTGCAGTCCCACCAACAGTTTCTGAGCATCCATCTCTCCTTATCCTGGGTGTCCCTTGACTCTGGCATTAAAAATCTCCGCTAATTTGATGGAGAGGAACGCACCTCAGTGTTTTAGTTGTTTCCTTTAGCGTTTGCGAGGTCGAACAGTTTTATATTTCTCACTCGGTGCCTGTCTCCCACTGCTGTCCGCTTCTTTATTTTGAGATACTTCAAGCACAGGAAAAGTGGATACAGAACAACCTAATGAACTATTTGTGTGCACTGACCCAGCCTCAGAAACAGTGCTGCAGATGGAGTACCGGTGGGGGGCCCTGTCCCTGTATGTTCTCAGGGCCTCCCCGGGGTGCGCGCGGCCTGCCCGTGTTCTCTGGAAGAGCAGGACTCAGGGCAGCTATGGGGTTAGTGAGGGTCCAGTCAGGACAGCAGGGTCACGTCGCCACCCCGCCAGCCTCCGGTCATGGTCGCGTCTCTGAGGCCTCCCTCCCGGAGAGGGTGTAAGCAACAGAAACCCTCCCAAATGGTGCAAACGGTTCAAAACCCTCAACCCAGGGACAGCAGAGCAAACAGGACCCAGAGGTAAACCTGCAGGTTGGATTTATTGTCCAAACTCAGTGACGTCCAGGAAAGGAGCTGTTTTTCTTTCCAGTGCTGTAGGAAAGCCTGCATAGAGCCTGTGACGGGACTCCGATGGCAGCCACCAGCTGTTTTCAGAATGAACTTTGCTGCCCCGTGTACACAGAGGCCTCTCCTCTAGCCAGCAGAGGGGACGCCTGCACCGACTTCTTGTGGCGGGGAAGGGAGGGCTGCATATAGAGCCCTGTGGCCCAGGGTGCCCCCCTCTCCCAGGGGGTCTGATCCAGGGAAGAGGAACTGTGGGTCCTGCCCCAGGGCCTCAGACTCAGAGGGTTAGTTCTGGGCATTGAGGGAGCAGAGCTGGGAACGGTGCTCTGCTCCTTTTTTTGACTGTGCCCATGTGAGCAGCACCCAGGCCCTCTCACCAGCCGGCCGTCAGTTGCACCTGTAGGTCAGGTCTCTCCCCAGTTCCCTGTCAGTAGCAGTTCGGGAGCAGTCAGGCCTGGGGTGATCTCAAATCCTCAAAATAAAGTACAAGGAATAATGAACTGACACCAGGGTGCCTACCTGCCAGAGGTGACATAAATTTTCTTGATCACGTTAGAGTTTTTAAAAATGAGTAACACATTTTATAAATAAAGTTATATATAAAGTACATCCTATTATAGCTCCTCAGCTCTGGCCCCTCCACGCTGGGTGGCCACTCTAGGACCCATCAAGGAGACCTGGGAGCCGGACTGAGCGGCAGCATCTGAAACTCCCCAGGCAGTTCTGAGCACTGGCGGGGTGAGACCACTGCTCTACAGTGGGGTCAAGAAACCCGGCCCTGGGCCCTGGGAAGGGTCATCTGCCACGGCCTGCGGGGCACCAGCTGGAGGAGTGGGGTCCAGTGGCTGTATCCCCAGGGGACACTGGCCTCGAGGAGCCCCTGGGAATCCTGGAGGAAAGGGGATGGCTGTGTGGCTGCCCTGGGGCCCCAGTACTTCCAGAAGGTGGTTCTGAGGCACATCCTCTCCTGCACCCCTGTCCCAGATGGAGGAAAGCTTGGGCCCTGGAACATCATTTTGGACTGGCTTTAAATGTTTCTTCTTTCAGGCGTGGCCCATGTTTTTGCCATGGTGCCAGAAGCCCTGGGGTCTGTCATCCTAAGAGAGTGGGGGTGGGACAGGGCCTGCCCCCTGCCCATTTCTGCTCCCCTGCCCCTCTCCTGCCCCCCATCCCTCCTCCTCCCTGCCCCCT